TCTCTCCAGACTCCACCCGACTGTATAATAAATAGGTCGGGTTGCATGTGATGGGGCAAAGTGCCTGGGTAATCCCACCTCTTCCAACATTTCTGACCAGGGTGAAAGAGTAGATCAAAATTACCCTCTAGAGCTCCTGTTGGTTGAAGACCGTTCCACCAGCAATTGGTGCGAGCAAGAAATTGTAGGGGCTGCGCTTTTGCGATGAGACGCATCTTTACGTGCCCATCAATATACGGAGAAACTGAGGTTAATTTCTTTGTATGCATTACGAAGGCATTCACAAAAAAATGCTATTTTGACGAATGAACTTACGACTAAAACCTCTATGAGAGCTGGAATATCTGTCTCCCACATGAGCTCCCGTTGTAGTGAATAGTGAATCAATTGTGTTGCTAACCAACTGCGCGGTATTCATTTTTGGCAACTGTCTGCACTTTCAGCCTTCAACGAATGACCTTTCCCCAGGCCCCGTTACTTCATGCAATTTTGTCGTAAAGGATTTGTTTTTTTTGCCATTATGAGTCGGTGGATTGAGTGAATTATCTTTGAGCCAAAAACTGAAGTCACAAATTGTTATAAAAATCTGTGCAAAAAAGCTTCGCAGCTCAACAGATTCCTCCAGTCTAAATAAAGATAAAGATTCTGATATTCACGTTGTTGCAAGCAACATATGGTGTAGCTGGTAGTTGAGATGACATTTATAATTATTAATAAATTTCATGATTAATGGCATTCATTGTTAATGATTCGTGTTTTTTTTCTTTGGCGAGTTGACTGCACGTGAGTAATTAAGATAAAATGCTACAAATCTCTTTTGATATAAATTTAAACGCACTCGACGCAACCGAGTGTATTTGCGGCCGTAATTGGAATCAACGTACGTCTAAAACAACCAAAGTTAGACATCACGTTTATACTGTGAAGTGAGCTTTCATGCACATGAGAATCTTCAAGATTTACCAGTATAAGTCCGCTCAATCTCAATTAGCAACAGTGGTTCTATGCTGCGCTGTGCTAATTAAGAGTTGCAATGTGCCAAATTTGTGAATCCATTGTTTTCACAGTTAGTTGGTGCATAGTTGCTCAATGTTTTCGGTAAGCAAAGGGTGTCTTGAAATGGAGTGTCATAGAAGCAGGAGAACGGAGACCATACATTGCTCATGGAGAAGTAGATTTGTATGCAGCACAAGTAATGGTTTGTTTTAATACAAATACAATCATAACAATACGTACGCCGAAACAAGTTCTTTAAGTAGAAGAAAACAAATCCAAATTAGCCGACAATCATTTTTAAATGCAATATTTTTTTTAGCTGTGTGCAAAGAATTACACAATACAGCCTTATCGCAATTTGTATTGCAGAAATCACAGCACATAACGAGACGCAAAGGTGGGTCCACGTTTGTACAATGCAATAGGAAAATATTCCTCTCTTAGATTAATTAAGATTTTATCTGAAATAGATTACATCGACAAATCCTGCACTCCATTTGTTTAAATAATATACCGTGAGCGCAAACCAAAAAAATATAATAAAGGCATGTGTTAAATATAACTGTGCTCACAACTTTTTTTTTTGCAGATGGGGCAGCCGTCAGTTTTTTTACATTAAACGTTTGTTTTATGATATTTCATAATGATATCAGAATGTGTGATCTACTGCTGTCATGACATCGATACGATTCTGCTTGCCTTGCATGAACTATATCCGTCTACATTTTAATCGGTGGTAAATACTGTCATTCACGTAATAACTATTAAAAGCGAACCACATCCACATTTTATGAATCATAACACAGGCCTGTGAAGCGTGTATTTTTTTGCATTAAAATTTAAATAGTACGATCAAATGTAATGAATAGGTCTAATTTCAGTAAATTATTTGTGCAAATATATCATTTTCATGAGCATTTGAAAATTAATATTTTCACAGAGTAAAAAAAATCTAATAATCTTAGCAAGCCTTTTTATATATAGAGAACTCCAACAATAACATACTTACTTCCATCCAGACCTGTCCATATTATGGATATAAAATCCCTGTAGGATTTCGCATTACTCCTAGATGATTACTAAAACGATTTGTCTCAGATTTTCATTAAACACTGTAATCGCTGCGCACACCTAAAACAGGCAGCGGGTTCATAATCCCATCCTCTTTGCAACATGATCCAGTGCTCTACACTGCTAGGTTTATTTTCTCTCTCTCTGTCTCCAAATAAATGGAGATGTAGGAACACAATGTCCGACTCGCACGTTATAAACCTTCACTTTTCGTCTCTGAACGGAGACAAATGGTGAGTGAAAGAGTGGCAGGGGGGGGGGGGGGGTGCCGTGTTTTCACGTTTCCGCGATTCACAATCACTGCCTGTTAACATTTGAAAGAATATCACTTTTCGCCGATTGTGTTAAATCGCTGTGCATGATAGAGGAAGAGGCTTACTTATTTGTTGAAGATTACGTCATAAATTAGTGGTAAAACTTTTCTTTTTTACATTTCGTAAACCATCTGATGTGACATTGCAGTCTGTACACATATTGTTTAATGTTGGTATCGATATGTACAATATCTTGCGGATTGTGGCATAGATAGTAAAGTACTTTCCTGCTTTAATGAACATTTGTCACAAAACATTAACTTTTAAGTGCCTTCTATGAGACATTTTGTTCTTTAAAGCACATTTCTTGAGGCATCACTCATCTTCTGATGTAATGCATACATGCAGCAGAACACAAAAATGACTTTAACTTATTATAACAGGCTTGATATATATACGTTCAATAATATTTTAATATGGCGTTTCATCGCTTAGCCAACAGAATGTGCATATTAAAGTTCTCCTTTTGTATTGGAGAAGTCTGAAAACAAATCCCATATATTCGTTTTACTGTGTGTGTCTTGGATATCAATTAAATATTTCACTTTTTTATAATGATAGTAATCCAATTGTTTACCCAACAAAGTCTCAGTGAATCTCAAGACACATTTTCAAGAGGGTTCCTGCATTTGGGATGTTTGACAAATTCCCTGAATGGGTGTTGGCATGTGGGAGAAAACTCGGGATAATGGAGTAAACCCACACACACGTGAGGGTAACACTCAAAATCTTTGCACAGATACATTCAAAAATCCCAACGGTGTACTTGCCATCGCTTAACAGCACATCATTCGATTCGCAAACCTATGTCTACAAAACACCTGATATACCCAGGCAATCTATCCAACCAAGCACGAACTAGGATCAGCTCTGCTCAGCTGCAGAGATCCGATGAGACCAACACATATTGAGAGTGATTTGGTCATAGGCAAAACATTTACTGAAACAAAACGATATTTATGTTTAAGTTCTCATGATATTTTGTGGGAAAGTACAAGTATTGAAATTGAGATGCAGCAAAAGTGGACCCTGAGGGTTTATGTTAACATGATTCCAAAATAAACATTGTTCCCTTACAAAAAAATCTGATTTACTTTTTTAATATAGATGTGAATTTATGACATTTTTTTTTATAAAGTGCAAACATCAAGACTCTTTATAAACACATCATGGCAATCATGTACAATGATATACATATTAATTTATACACTAAGGTTTCTACAGTTGTTACCAATAAAGTGTTTTGCTAACATGGGAGTGTATATGGCAATCTACTATCTGAAATAGACCAAAATAATAAAATCGCTGCTGTATATATTACGCGCTGAGAACACCTGCGTGTTAACCAAATCTGTCGGTTGAGCGTATTGGTCTTGTGGACTTGCAGTAACCAGAAGCGTGTGTTTAAAGTGAGCAGAATCTGGATCGGTTCTGAGCCAGGCTTATTGAAAAAAATGCTGCTGTTATTGGCGAGCATGGCTGATGGTAGGGCACCTCCTCCTTCTCGACGGGTCCATGTTTAGAGACAAACAACACGAAACAACTCTGTTATGTGCCGTTGTGTATCCCTTTAGAATGCTGCACAGCATCACCACATTATACATTCTTTTCTTTACGCAATAACTGCTACAGTAGGTAAAATGTGCACTGTTTTGAGCTGTCATTCATCTTCAGGTGTATATTTTTCTAAATTCTCTGATAATTTATGATGAAAATTGAAGTTGTACATTTACAATAAACAATACAGCATTTGTTTTTGGTATTCTACAGGCAATTGAATATGATGTTATCAAATTTGTTTGTAAGGATATACATACTTTCACACATTAGAATATACATATCTGTGATATGACTTTTGACAGTTTCAGACTGAATCAAAACAAATATATACTTTCATATGATTTGATTTTGCATACTCGCTGAGTTTTTTAATCTATGTATTATGAATAGGACAAGAAGTAAAAACTAAATCATAGTTTGTAACATTTGGGCATTAAATCTTGTGAAGAGAGTTCTCCAACACACCGGTGTTGAGGATCTAGGACACAAATTTTATTTATGCGATCTGACCCCCAAAAAATATATTTGGAATCATAATTTAGTTGGAATATGCCTAACATTTAATATGGGTGTCGTGGCGGTGAGATGTTAACTACCTCGCCTGGTGTACCGGAGGTCGTGGGTTCGATCCCGACCCTGACGATGCCTGTATATTTGGAGTTTTCATGTTCTCCCCGTGGTCACGTAGATTTTTCTCCGGGTCCTCCGGTTTTTCAAGATTTAGAAACGTGCGTTTAGAATATTTGGCTGATATAAATGTCCACGTGATAAGCCTCTGTCGAGTCATCATTGTGGCCAGGTCGCTTATTGAAAAAGAGCTATACAAGTATAGCTTAGTGGGCCATACTTGGTAAAAAATAAAAATAAATGAAGTTTAAATTTAGATTTAAAGCTTTCGTGACTGCAGTGATTCATATTCTTGGTTCTTTCGGTAAAGTCACGTTGAAGGGAAACAATAAAATAATAAAATATATATAAAACAATAAAATTCTCACGACGTTTCGACTGCAACACAAGCAGTTTTCACATCTGATGATGACTGCTTGTGTAGCAGTCGAAACGTCGTGAGAATTGTATTGTTTTATATATATTTTATTATTTTATTGTTTCCCTTCAACGTGACTTTACCGAAAGAACCAAGAATATGAATAGTTTAGTTTAGTACCCAGTTCACACCGGGGAAAACAAGTGATCCTCTCAGCGACTCGATTCTTCAAACTTTTATTCGAGGAATCCGCTCCTGACCACCCACCTAAAAATAAATTACGAATCGTACATAATCCCCTCGGTTCTTTGGAACTGTATTGCGCTGCTAATAAATGAAATGCATTTCTCCAAAGGGAGACATGTGGTCACGAAGGGTTTTCACCAGGTTGAATAAAGCATTTGATCGCGATAGCATCATTCATTACAGTCGGCAACACAGGCAAAAGTTGCGATGTTGTGAATTTCTTATTCAATGCCAAGCATCAGTTACACCCCACAACGCGGACATATATAGCAACATCAGAAGTGTCTCGAGCAGCGGTGTGAATGGCTCGTGTGTAGTTATGATTGAGCGCTCTACTGTATGTGCAGTTCAGAACTATGGTATTTTTGAAGTGAGAGACTACGGCAAATACAATTGTGTACATTTTATCGGTAACTATAAATAATTAGAACGCTACGCAGATACAAAGCTTGTTGGTGACACGTGACCACTTTACCAATCTGTTTTCGGTCAGAGACTTTGCGCACGGAAAATCTCTTCCGATCTTATGACTCACACACACATCTTCATTCACGAGCGTCCAGGCAGTGATGCGGTGTTCTTTATTAAATTTCTACCTTGAGTATGAAGTCTGTCACGCCTTTAGAGGCTTTGCTGGCCGAAAATACACGAGTATGTGTGTTTCAATCTTACATTTTATAACTGGCCAATATCCATCCCTGGGATGTTTGGAGACTATGTACAATGAGAAATTGATCAAAACCTTATAAACAACCAGAATGTTGCCGTTTCTTGTTAAATAACCAGTAAGGTCCGTGGTCTATATGTCACATTTTATATACTTTCTCAATGGCATGAGTATATGGACTCTGTCAGTAGAATGTGTTATACAGTAAGTATTTCCATTAATTGACAGATATAAACATTGTCATAAGTATGGCTCTGTAAGTCTAATGGCATGCTGTTCTTCATTGTAGCAATTCTGCTAAAATCATCTGACAGCTGCTGTCTTCTCTGAGTTCCAGTCCCCCACAATATGAAATTCAAATTGATTGTCTGAGCATTATCCCAAATTAATGACGGGCGATGAGCTGATTGCTGAAGGCATTTCTTTTAAATCCACACTTTTTTTCATTTTCCACAGTCGTTTTGACATCTTTCAGGGAGGGGGGAAAGAATAGCAACAAAGTTTTTCACCAGATTCTGAATGAATTTTACTTTTTTTAAATATCGACACCAAAAATCATTTGTCAAATAAAGTAAAAATATGTCTGTAACCATTCTTTTGAAACTCCACACGGTACACTTTTCTCTGTGTCATGAGCAAAGCTGATGAATGTGTGCACTAATAATAAAAGTGTTTGCTTTATATATATTTCCTTTAAACTGTTTCGGACAGCAGACCAGCGCAAATACTATGGGGTTTGCACATTCATCCGAATAAATATTTACAATACACTCTGTGTGCAAAACGTCAGTGTAATCTGATCGCCTGCAATTTCTGCTGTTTCTTTTTTTATTTTATCCAGTCAGTGTCAAGTCAAAACCGGGTGGAACAAAAAGAATCACGTGACTCTTCGTCTATATCTAGAGAGTGAATTTGAACGCAGCTACAGCCGTTACATTTGCTGAATTATATTTTCCTTCATTGTTTTTCTTACACTCTTTTGTAACGTTTGCACTCTAAGCCACTTTCTTGCACGCGCTATTGTCCCTCCATTCGTTAACTTTGCGGGTTGATCGTTGCGCCAGAGGGCCAAGGGAACAGCCCTGACTGGTAATAATATCAGCAGTGCAGGATCTTAATGAAGGCCTTGCGGAACTCTATGTTAAAGGTGGTATAGATGATGGGGTTGACCGCGCTGTTCACGTATCCCAGCCAGGTGGTCGCGCTGTACAGGGCTGGCGGAATGTAACAAGTCTTGCAGTGGACATTGAGGATGTGGGTGATGAAGAAGGGCATCCAGCAGACGATAAAGACCCCTGAAAGGAAACACGGCAAGCAAAGTTTAGGGCAGAGAACTAAGCCGGTTCAAGGGGGCACTCTTTCGCAATCTTCCGCGGGAGATGTGTGGGCATATATTAGGGGACGTGTGAACGACTTGTTGAGAATAATGTAATCAAGTCACGTGTTTTTTTTGTTCGTTCAAAAAAGGCGGCCACGATGTGTTCTGCACTGGTGTCACGAAGCAATGGTGAAGTTACCCCAGCGTTTGTGCCAGGCTAAGTGTACTTTGGAGCCAGGTGAAGTGTCGAAGGCTAGCTAGTCAGGTGTACGTATGTATGTTGAACTTCTTTCTCACCGCACGTAGCCAACCCTGCTAATCGGAGGTGTAGTTCAGATATGGTTCACTGGTAAGAGTGATGCTTTCATCCTGGGGCACTTCTTTAAGACAAGTTGCATGTTGGTATGTATATTTATATTTAGCCCATGACCAAATCACCTGGAATGTGCCTGGTGTCATCATATCTTCAGAATCAGAATATTATTTAAATTGGAGGAATCTCGATGAGCTCTTTTTTCATAGATGTACAGTAGGGGCGGTTCAGAACGTTACAACAACAAACAACACAACAACACGATAGGAGTGCAGAGTGTAGGTAAGGTAAACTAATTATCTAAATAACTATACAAATCAAACTATTTAATCTTACCAGGTAAAGCCCACTGAGCTACTAGGTTATTTTTTTAGAAACGACGTGGCCACAAACGATAGCTCCACAAAGTGACTTATCATGTAGAAATTTAAAGCAGCGGAATAATCTAAATCTAAATGCATGTTTCTTTGGAAGTTAAGTAGAGATGAGCCTGGATATTGCTTGGATGGGCGGCCACCATACCTAATAATTGTTTTAGGCTTCGAGACTATAACGTGAGCAGTAATGGATCATGCAGCAAATGCATTGTTATACTGTACTTCTATACTTCCACATCTATGCCCCTGGCCTTTACTAACCCACACTGACCAAATAGCAATGTTGAAGGAGTTTTGCTACGTCCTAGATATATATCAAACTACGAGGCACTTTGGTTAGTTTACACGCATATCCTACAACCTTGCTATTTTTTTCAGCAAGCTATGACAAGTCCGCTATCCGGCTCCTAAAATATTTTCGACCATTTCCAAACGCCGGGGTGCAGTGGTTGTGCCACAGATGGTGACGTTAGCCATGTCCCGGCCATGGATAACGCCATTGTAGAGTGATGTGCGAAATCGTCCCGGGCTCCCACCCCTACTTCACCAACCAGTCTTGACCAGTGTGGTGAAAATCAGGTCAACAATACCTCATGACCGACAAGGCATGGGGAGGGCATCAACAACCAGCAGGTGGGCTGTAGATTAATAACATGCGGTTCACATTTCACACCTGTATTATCATATTATCATCACGCAGCATCTGAAGCATTGCATAGATTTAATTAAGATAAAATTCACCCCCCCCCCCTAATGTTAATATTGAAATATTTGTAGGAAGGAAAAAAATATTCAGAAAAGCTTTCGCGGATATATAATCAGAGTCCACCAAAACATTTGGCCACAAATGACAGCTCGACGAAGCGTATGATCACGTGGAAATTTAAAGCAGCCAAATATTCTAAACGCACGTTTCTAGATCTGGAAAAACCGGAGAACCCGGAGAAAAAAAAAACTACGTGACCACGGGGAGAAGATGCAAACTCCAAATATACAGACATCGTCAGGGTCGGGATAGAACCCACGACCTCCTGTACACCAGGCGAGTAGTAGTAAACATTTACTATGACCCAACATTTAGTGTTTGCTGGCTCGCATTTTTGTCATGTGTTTGCAGAGGAAATCATATAAACACTCAACTATGCGGTTAAATGCGTAATGGAGTGGGTTCCGCCCGGGTGCAATCTATTCGCGTTGTAACCTGCGTACAAATTCGCCCAAGTTGCTGCCCTGATTTCTTCTTCAAGATTGCAGTGGGTGCCACGGTGGCGAGATGTTAACTACCTCGTCTGGTTTACAGGAGGTTGTGCGTTCGATCTCAACCCTCACGCCTGTATATTTGGAGTTTGCACGTTCTCCCCGTGGTCGCGTGGATTTTTCTCCGGGTCCTCCGGTTTTTCCCTGCACATTTAGAATTAACACGCGTTCAGAGTATTTGGCCGCTATAAATGTCCACGTGATAAGCCAGCTCGTTGAGCTGTCATTTGTGGCCAGGTTCGCTTCTAAAAAAAGAGCCATATAGCTCGGTGGGCCTTGAAGTTTTTTTCTTCTTGAAATAACGAATCGCACTGCGGACCAGTCATCCTGCCCAAGAGTGGCAGGTGTTATCCTTTTTCTTGTGTTAACAGCTCACGTTATGGAACATGACATTGAAATTAATAACCACGACGACTTTGCTGCCTTCCACTGTGTTGATCTGCTCCAGCGAAGTGCCCCTGCTTGTCGGACAGCGTTCACCCTTCGGCAGAAATTGTTTGCAAAAGGTACCATGCCACAAAAGTGGAAGCCACAATTTTTAATTGATGTCTAAATTAATGGATGCGAATTAAGTAAATTTCAATTAAGTGCATACACTAGCCCATGATATGTATATCTCCATATATATAAAAGGCAAAGTTGTGATTATGTGTGTCTGTTCAAAATGTTTATCCTACTTCCCGACATACAACAAACTTGAAATTTGCCATGTGGGTACTTTCCAGACTGTACACCATGCAAAAATTATAAAAATACACTTTTGGGGGGGGGGGGGGGGGGGGCGGGGGCTCAATAATGCATTTATTTTTTTCATGCCAAGTGAGCTGTGACGTCAAATCTGTCACGTGACCCACGCATGTGGAAGCGTAACGCATTGTAGTGGTTAGCGCGCTGCGCTACGAACCCGGCAAACCGAGTTCTATTCCTGCTCACGGCCACCACTGGTGACGATTATTTTAACCGGTCCTGGACCTCCCCTAGGTCGACTCAGCCTCAAACGAGTAACTGGTGTGGTGTGTGAACATCACCACTGGGGAGACAAAGGTGGCCGGGCGTGGTGAATCCAAAAAGTCCCGGGCGAAGCCGGGTAGTGAAGCTAGTACAATATATATGAGTGGGAGTGGTGGTGCAGTTGTAGGCGAGGCACAATATGAACCCAGCGACCTGAGATTGATTCCTCACGTCAGTGTCGATTGCTATCTGCGCTGATCCTGGTTTCCCTCCTGCACTGTTCATCAACCCACATGGACAGTATGTCCGTGAGGAGGTCTTCATCCAGCAGTGTATTGACATACATACCTATACTATACTTTGTTGTAAATATCTGCTGATGTATTTCACACATTTCATATAATTGAACGCCTGACAATTGGCAATATCCGTCTAAAGTGAATACGATGTTTAATTTATCATATGAAGTATGTTTGCCGAAGGGCATTAACCTTGGTGTACGCAAGGCACCTATGAATATACTCAGTTTAACACGTAGGCTTTCGCGATCAATATTATTGTTAATAAATGTTTTTTTGGGGGGGTTAGATCGCACAAGTATAAATGTGTCGAAACCCTCCACCACCCGACATGGTCAATCAGTAAGGGGTTTGTCATGTAAACAAGACGCCAAATAGTTACTATTCTGGCAAATCGCCCGATGATACTGGATGATGTAATTACCAGCGAAACGTCGTACTCAGATTGTAAATGTTGTGGATGCACTCTTCAACACACCGGTGGGCTGAAGTAGTAACTATTTGGCGTTTTGTTTACGTGACAAATCCCTTACTGATTGGCCATGTCGGGTGGTGGAGAGTTTCGACACATTTCTATTTACACGATCTAACCCAAAAAGACCTTTGTTATTAATATGCTTAATTGGGGGTCTCAGGCTTAGGTGGATGATGGGACACAACGTTACATGTATCCCACAACGTTTAGAGAAACGTTGCGCGTTATAAAACAACGAATGTACTGTAACTGTTTAACGCAACAAACACGTGCTTTGTAAAACAGGTCGGCTCATCGCAAATAATTTCCCGAACAATAATAATAAGTTAAAAATTAAGGCGATATTACAAATCAAGGTATGTATATGCAAAATAAAAAAATAGCGTAAATAATTATGGCAAACTAAAACATGAATTCATGAAATACCGCATGACGATTGTGAAGACTGTCCTCAGCCTGAATGCCACTTACACTGGGACTCTCACAGATTGCATGTAACATTTCACCACGTAACTGTGAATTTTGAGAAGCCATGAAGCCAGGTGGTGCAAACCGTATTGAAACCACCCCTCCCCCACAACTCATGTACAGATTGTGCAAGTCTGGTTATGCCAAAGGCGATCCAGGATTTCCTTCCCGTACTTAGGTAATTAATTTTAATGAAGCTTGTATATGCATCTCCAGAAAGACCCCCTGTAAATGTGTAATGTTCCCGTGCTTTGTCTGTGTTAAAGGAAATCAAATAAGGATTTTTTTTTATAAAAATATATATTTCACAGTGGTCTGCTCATAAGTGCTTTAGGGGCAAAGTCAGTGAGCCTACAATGAGCTGAATTAATGCCTGCAAATACCTAATGAGGATATAAATAAATAAACGCCACGGAGAACAAAATGTGCACAGATGTTTTTTGGAAGCAAATAATTGAAGCGGTATGATTAAATTCATGAACAGGTTCAAAACAATTGACCAAAAGCAATTCATCTCATTATATTCTTGGTTCTTTCGGTAAAGTCACGTAGAAGGAAAACAATAAAATAATAATAAATATATAAAACAATAAAATTCTCACGACGTTTCGACTGCAACACAAGCAATCATCAGGTGTGAAAACCACAGTAAGAAAATTTGAAAAAAGTGGCGGTTATTTTTAACGTTAGCACCACGGAGAGCGATTTGACAGATGGACGAGTCCATCTATATTTGGAACAAACTGTCAAACTGTCAAATCGCTCTCCGTGGTGCTAACGTAAAAAATAACCGCCACTTTTTTCAAATTTTCTTGCTGTGGTTTTCACACCTGACGATGATTGCTTGTGTTGCAGTCGAAACGTCGTGAGAATTTTATTGTTTTATATTTTCATTAATTTTTGTATTGTTTCCCTTCTACGTGACTTTACCGAAAGAACCAAGAATATGAATCCCCGCAGTCACGAAAGCTTTAACATCTCATTATACTTCTCAAAATCTCATATCGGTAAAAGAAAAAAGTCAAACATTTATCTAATCAATTGCTAGCCCGTGCCACTTGCTGGAAGAAGGGCCTCCACTGGAGCCTGCTGGAGAAGGTATTTTGTCTGATCTTCCACATGGTCCAGATGCGATGGCATATGTGGGAGCAACCCATGCATTTTCCTCACCGCTTGTGACCCACCGATTGACTCACTATGGTGTACTCGTTCATACTGTTTGGGTGGACAGGGATCGGGAGGGGGGGAAGGTGGTTTCATAAACTTGCACCACTGTCTGCAAATACCTAATACCAGTTACATGCTAATTTATATGTAAACTCCTCTCCGCCCTCCTCCGGTCCGAGCTCGTCGCTCTCCGTGGTGCTCACACCAACATCATGCTAATCCCCCAGTTACATGCTAATTTATATGTAAACTCCTTTGTCAAGGCACTCTGTTCCTCCCACACAGCTTAAAAGACGCTGTCAAGCTTGGCAGGGTTCACTCAAGCGCTGTCTTCCGGACAGTCCTGTTTCTTCACCTGAGGAAGGCTACTTGTGTTGTGGCCGAAACGTAGTGAGAATTTTATTCTGTTATTATTTTTTTATAATTTTATCTCCATTCTACGTGACTTTACCGAAAGAACTCAGAAGATGAATCCCTGCAGTCACGAAAGCTTTAAATCGAAAAAAAATTGCACCACTGTTTTTGACCGACGATCTGCGAGATCGATTCGAACCGGCGACCTCTGGAGATGCGAGTCCCAGTGTGCCGGCCATTACACCAACGCAGTACGCCATACAAATCCCCCCCCCCCCAAAAATCTAAATCACACGAGACAGGCGTCCGTGCGGTCGGAACTCACCCAGCACGATGGCCAGCATCTGAGTCGCCTTCTTCTCTCTCTGTTGCGAAAAATTCCGATTGGCCGCCACCACCTTGAGGGAAGTGCGCATCTGACCGTTGGGCAGCTGCTGCGTTTCGAACGCCACCTTGAGGACGTTGCGGCACGCTTGGCCGCCGTCGGTCCTCTCCCCGTCGGGCCGCTCGCCGCCGTGGGGGCGGCCGCCGTTGAGCTGGTCGCCCTTCGGCTGGGCGCCGTTGACTCGCTCGCCGTCGGCCTCGAGCGAGGCTCCGTCCGCAGGGGCGACGTCGGTTTCCTCGGCCAGCGTGTCGTGGCGGTACGAGGGCGGAGCGGGGGCCACAAGGCGCTGCTGCTGGTGGTGGCCGAGCGAGTGTTGTTGGCTCGCCTGCTGCTGCTGCTGCTGCTGGTGGAGCTGTTTGATGCTCTTGCCCACAAGGGACTTTTTGGCTTTTCGAGAGAGTGGTGGGGACATGTATGACTCGAGCTCCATCTCTTCAGGTTGAGCAAGTTCTTCCTGCAATGGAGGACAATGCACAGTGCCTCTTTATACGTATATAAACAATTACATTGGAAATACGAGTAGATTAAGACGTTATGAAAGTGGATTTCATAGGTTCGGGCAGTGCAGTCTATCTAAATCAGTGGCATTACAATCACGTGTTAAATGCCTCTGGATTCCCTTCAATAGATTCCATCTTGCAGTCCTTACAATGTCCCTTCAACAATTATAGACAATTATTTCCACGGGCACATTCGTAGGTATTTAAAAGATACTCAAGAATAACAATTCCCAAATGGATTTTGAAAAATCACCAGCTTTTAATGGAAGCTGCAGTTATGTAGTCAAATACTTATAAATACCTCCTTTGGATGAAACAATTAGATTGGTAAAGCCGTAAAATATTTGAAAGACTTTAGTTAATCCTGCATAATTTAAGTTTTAATCCATTTAAAAAAATATTCATCACAATGGGGTCAGGTTATGGATGTTGCTTCTCACAACTGGTGGCCCATTCAAAGGAATTATCCTTCATAATAGAGCCGGGAGGTTATGATCTTTTTTGTGAAATAAATACTTTCCCACGAATGTAATTGGATTTTTAAAAATAACTAATCTCAATTTATTTACCAATTGCACAGCAGAAATTAGTTAACATGGTATGCATTTTTTCTTTACGTGTGATTATTTTAAAGGGGCCAAGGATATGAGCGCTATCATAAAGACTCGCAATTATATTTATAAATCCCTTTTCTGAAATGTCCCAATATGCCTAAAATTAAATTGATACAATTCCAAACTATGTTAAGGACAATGCATCACAGTAGTCACGTGTGAATTGATTGTTGAAATAGTACACTCGACGTAAGAGTAAACTATTAAAACAATTCATTAGTTGAGAATTGTCAAGAATTAATCATATTAATATTTGACGTAACAAAATATAAGATTCAACGATTTCAATTGCAATGGTGTGCTATTTGTACAACTTATTATTTGGCAGGAAATTATGTTATTTATAGACATTCTAGATCCCCCTGCCACATCAGCCTGGTGAAGATGAGGATACCGTCATCAATCCAGCAGTGGATTGATGATGGGCTGTAAACAATTGTATTTATTGTGTTACTAAATGTAATATCCGACAATAATTTATGAAACGAAGACCTACAGGTAATAATTTGAACGTGCTCAAAGTACATATCCAGTATAGCACGTATTAACTAAACTAAAACTCAACTTTTTTCTATTTTACCAGGTAAGGCCCCATTGAGCTATTTAGCTTTTTTTCAGAAGTGACCAGGCCACCACAAATGATAGCTCAACGAAGTGGCTCACCATGTGGACATTTATAGGAGCCAAATGCTCTAAAGTCTAAACGCATGATTCTAAATGTGATGTACAAAGAAAGAGCAAGGGAAACTTACTACATTTTTCTTTGAGGAGGCAAAGTTGCCGTTATTAGCACAGACGATTGTGCAGAGCTTGACATCTTCAGGATGAGTGCATTTTACCTGGATTTAAAAAAATCAACACACAAATGAGTTATCCCACAGACTTCCATGAGGCATTCACGGGTGTAAAAATAGTAGGCATTTTAAATTGCTAAGTATCCCTCATTACACATTACATTCCTCGAGTGAAAACTATAATACTGCAGTGATGCATCATGAGCGATACAAGGGTCTATCTGAAATGTATAATTATATCCATCATTTCAGTAATGAATGTGTCACTGCATCAATGTTCGGATTCAAAGCTATATAAGTGAGAAAAACAGCTCCCATTTTTATACTGTACAGTCTGTTGGGGCAAAAGCTGTGAGCAGGCACTAATTAAGACCAGCATGGTACAGGAGTGGGCGGTGTTGCTTAGCGCTATGCCAACCACGTTTTGTTTCCTCAGTGCTGATACTGGCATGCCACGTCAGGTTAACTTCTTTAGGATATGTCGACCTTATACATATTTAGATACAAATGGGCCATAGTGCACAAGGCAGTCATTTAAAACAAGTCCCTGAAGTCATTCTAAAGTACAAAACAAAACATGTTGTAAAATATAAAGTTGACTAATGGATTAATATTGTATTTTATATATGGATAGCAGTACCTTAGATAATGGCAAATGTGCACTTTGGTTTACTACAGCTACAATACAACCGACTGATGACCACTGCCAAAAGCATGCCACATTTAAATATAGTATCAATTTTAACGCAGTATATTAACTGGCAATCTGCATAAGAACATCTCCAAATATGTAATTAGGTTTTTTTTTTTAAATACACTTTGTTACTGAAGTCTCGTTCACTGATCAGAGAATGATAATTTGATTCTCAATCTGTAGTTTCCAGGATATAAGTTAAAGCAATTTGGACGAATATGTTGACTCGTGAATTGCTGCTTGAATTTTTTTACACATGGCAGACCTTTTTGATATAATTTCAGCTGTTTCATGAATGTCTGGAATTTTATGTTGCAAGACTTATAAATAATTGGAACAAAGTTTGTCCCCGCATGAAATAATTAAGCTGTACCTTTACTGTAAAGTGTGACAAAACATTAGCTTGTACCAGAAATTGACCAAAACATGTTGCATTTACTTTCATATGCATTGCTGTACTCTTACAAAGTGTTGGCTTAAAGATACCATTTGACAAGTGAAAAGCTTCCAAAAACGAATAAATCATATGTTTCTAATTCAGTCTGCCATACTAAGTCAACCTTATTAATTTTGTCATAATTTTACATGTTCTCGGCACATGTTTATCCCCCTTCAGCCAAAGTATGCATGTATGTTGAACTTCTTTCGCACCGTACGTCGCCAACCGCAGTTCTGACTAAATTAGTTTTTTGTTTAGTCTACTTGACCATGAAGTCCTTATGCATCCTAACATCCTTATGAGCCCAAGCAAATTATATACGTGCACAAGGGGATATTTAACAGAATAAAAACATTAGAGAACTTGCAAGAAAAATCTGAAAAAAAGTTGACAATGTCAGCAACCAACGTTTGAAGAATATCATTGTTACAGTTAGTTTCAAATGGTGAAATCCTGTGATGGATCAGACGGCTTGCCACAATATAGGTGTTCCTCCCTTCGTACGGGTTTAGTTTTGTCCAAGTTCGCGTATATGCAGCGAGCCTATTTGTACCCAAAATGTGCCGAATGCGGTTTGTATTCACACGTGATACGTAGCTATACGGCCGGACGAGGCAACATCGTGCTTACTGTGTGCGCTACTTGGCAGGGCAGCTGTCTCATGCAATTTTGGTTTGTCTGCTCTCTGCTTAGGAACGCACGTTCCCACGTGAAGCAAAGGAAACGTGCCTTTCAATAGTTTCACGAAGGATTGTGTGATTTGACCAAGAATCATTTGTGCCGACTGCCATCGTAACATTAGTTTACAAACCAGACCAAAACAACCGTGTAAACTGCGAAGGGTTTTAAAGTGAATGTATATCTTCTAAAATAAATTGAATACATTTCTGCATGCATGAGGTGTGATGATGTGAAGAGGATGCGTAATAAATACACGCGTGGCAGTAGAGTATAGACTCACCCTGAAGGAGCAATGTTTAACATTGACAAGGTGAAGAAACTTTCAGGGGAGAAAACTTTTAATTATCGGAATAACATGTTTTCTCGAGATACTGATTGATTTCCCAAAGCCAAGGATAAGCTATTGGTTGCCGTGATTGTGTGTGTGCCAGTCCTCCTTGTTGGGGCTATTAAAGTTCTCAATACTGGAGTGAGGCTCATATCAAGAAAGGATATCTTCCCTGTAGAAATGGCATAAAAAAGTACATTTACAGAATCCATAGGATCCTGCAGAATGCAAGGTTGTTGTACCTTCTGGGAGAACAGATGTTCTATTTTTTATCATCAAAGTGTGTCTTTGAAAAGGGAATCTTGCTTTATTATGGCTTTCTGGTGTACATGCGCAAAATAAAGCTACAGTACATTCTGTGTTGGGTGCGATTTCACAGCTCGTCTGGTTTGGGGAGTATAATCATGGCCGTTTTTCGTGGAAATCAGCAACTAATGACCAAAAATCAACAACAAAAACAAGCTCTCTACTTGGCATCTCGTTGGTAATTATATCAGCTGAAGCTGTGAGTGGAAATGCCGCCCAAGTGGGTGTTGGTTAAGGTGATCGGATGGAATGGCTAAAGCGATCGCTGGTTGTGCCGAGGAGAGGTGTAAACATTGGCTCGCAGCAGGCCCAGCCTCTTCAGCTGTGGAGCCAGGGTTGGGTGGCCCATGTGGCGCGATGTTAACTACCTCACCTGATATACAGGAGGTTGTGGGTTTGATCCTGACCCTGACATTGATATATTTGGAGTTTGAATGTCTCCTCTCTCCCTGTGGTGACGTGGATTTTTCTCCGGGTCCTCCGGCTTTTCCCTCCACATTTAGAATCAACGTGAGTTTACAATTGTTGGCTGATATAAATGTCCACACGATAAGCCACGTTGTTCCGCTATCATTTTTGATGGCCAGGGCGCTTCTGAAAAAGAGCTACGTAGCTCAACCTAGCCCCTAACCAAGAAGCACAATATGCTTACAACGAATTAGATGACCCAGCATTAAAATATTTATATTGCCTGTCCTTTGACTCATTCTATTTTTGTATTAATTTGGTTGCGTATGAGATGTTAGATAAACGGAGACAACAAATTTATATCGAAAAAAAAAACCTGACAGAAAGGAAATGAGAAGACCCGAGAGGTAGGCCGGAGATGAATGGCAATACGAGAACCAAGATGGGACATTTGGAATGTCCGGACACTCTACTAACCAGGGAAGGGAGGGGATGCTTCCTGGTATGCTGAAATGGCACAACGTCACAATTTCTAGGACAAGTGAAACAGGGTGGATTTACTCAGGTAGGGCCCAGATTGTGGATTACACACAGCCTGTGGTATACAGTGAGTGAAAAAAGTATTTGATCCCCTGCTGATTTTGTACGTTTGCCCACTTACAAAGAAATGATCAGTCTATAATTTTAATGGTAGGTTTATTTGAACAGTGAGAGACAGAATAACAACAACAAAATCCGGAAAAACGCATGTCAAAAATTTAATAAATTAATTTGCATTTTAATGAGTGAAATATATATTTCACCCCCTCTCAATTAGAAAGATTTCTGGCTCCCAGGTGTCTTTTATACAGGTAACGAGCTGAGATTAAGAGCACACTCTTAAAGCGAGTGCTCCTAATCTCAGCTTGTTACCTGTATAAAAGACACCTGTCCACAGAAGCAATCAATCAATCAGATTCCAAACTCTCCACCATGGCCAAGACCAAAGAGCTCTCCAAGGATGTCAGGGACAAGATTGTAGACCTACACAAGGCTGGAATGGGCTACAGGACCATTGTCAAGCAGCTTGGTGAGAAGGTGACAACAGTTGGTGCGATTATTTTCAAATGGAAGAAACACAAAAGAACTGTCAATCTCCCTCGGCCTGGGGCTCCATGCAAGATCTCACCTTGTGGAGTTGCAATGATCATGAGAACGGTGAGGAATCAGCCCAGAACTACACGGGAGGATCTTGTCAATAATCTCAAGGCAGCTGGGACCATAGTCACCAAGAAAACAATTGGTAACACACTACGCCGTGAAGGACTAAAATCCTCCAGCGCCCGCAAGGTCCCCCTGCTCAAGAAAGCACATATACATGCCCGTCTGAAGTTTGCCAATGAACATCTGAATGATTCAGAGGACAACTGGGTGAAAGTGTTATGGTCAGATGAGTCCAAAATGGAGCTCTTTGGCATCAACTCAACTCGCCGTATTTGGAGGAGGAGGAATGCTGCCTATGACCCCAAGAACACGATCCCCACCGTCAAACATGGAGGTGGAAACATTATGCTTTGGGGGTGTTTTTCTGCTAAGGGGACAGGACAACTTCACCGCATCAAAGGGACGATGGACGGGGCCATGTACCGTCAAATCTTGGGTAAGAACCTCCTTTCCTCAGCCAGGGCATTGAAAATGGGTCGTGGATGGGTATTCCAGCATGACAATGACCCAAAAAACACGGCCAAAGCAACAAAGGAGTGGCTCAAGAAGAAGCACATTAAGGTCCTGGAGTGGCCTAGTGAGTCTCCAGACCTTAATCCCATAGAAAATCTGTGGAGGGAGCTGAAGGTTCGAGTTGCCAAACGTCAGCCTCGAAACCTTAATGACTTGGAGAAGATCTGCAAAGAGGAGTGGGACAAAATCCCTCCTGAGATGTGTGCAAACCTGGTGGCCAACTACAAGAAACGTCTGACCTCTGTGATTGCCAACAAGGGTTTTGCCACCAAGTACTAAGTCATGTTTTGCAGAGGGGTCAAATACTTATTTCCCTCATTAAAATGCAAATCAATTTATAACACTTTTGACATGCGTTTATCTGGATTTTTGTTGTTGTTATTCTGTCTCTCACCGTTCAAATAAACTTACCATTAAAATTATAGACTGATCATTTCTTTGTCAGTGGGCAAATGTACAAAATCAGCAGGGGATCAAATACTTTTTTTCTCACTGTAAGTATGGGCAGCGTCATAAAGGAGTAAAGATTTCCATTCATAACAGGATAGCGAAGTCAACGACCAAATAAACATCAGAGGTGGGTTTTTGCAATTCTTGTGAACTTTACAGAAGATGGGTTACTCAGAACAAGAAACCGAGACTCTTTGGGAAGGCTTTGACAATTGTAGTTGAGAGAGCATCAACAGCAGCAGAATTTCTAGGTCGTAATAGGTAAGGAATAAGGATGAGTAGATAACAGCTTAAATTTACGAAGCCATGGATAGGGCTCGAGAAGGGAAGCAGCAATTGCTTCGTGAGAACAAAAGAGAGAGCTGGAGAGGATGCAGACTACGCTGAAAGAAAACAGGAATTACATGAGAGAGAGAAAACTATCGCAGGATTGAAATATTTTTTTACTCTTGTGTTTTTTTAACCATGTAAGACCCACTGAGCTATATAGCTCCTTTTTTTCAGAAGCGATCTGGCCACATTTAATAGCTCCAACGCAGTGGCTTACCCTGTAGACATTTACAGCAGCCAAATACTCTAAAAGGCACGTCTTGAGTGTTGGCACAGCAAGTGGAGGAGGTTGAAGATGCTTCGAGTAAGAAGGGCAGCAAGCAAAAGTTACGTTCATGTGGTCAAACAATTATGTTGTGAGAAAATGTCCAAATAATACAGTGTTAGAGCCAGGTATGGTAGGGATGGCAGTGAGGCATAAAACGGAGCGGACAGTGCTCGACAGCTAGATCTATGGCGATACATATTTTTAAACAAGGAACCCATTGACTCGTTAGGCCCATGGAGGGACATCGGGCAGCAGCAGAAGGAAGTTTCTGCGCAGAATTGAGAGGTTATGGAAGAAATGAAGAAAAGAGGTAACCCCCTGTCAGAGGTCAAAACAGCAGTGAAGCAGAACAAATCGGGTAAGGCATCAACAAACATGTGGCGTTACCGTTGAGATGCTGAAAGAAGGCAAGGTGTTCGTCAAGGTTGTATTTTGTCTCTCATGTTTTTTAATGTTGTGCTTGACTGTGCATTCACCAAAACCACACAGGAAAAACCCCAGGAATCAATACGGGTGGGATGAATGTGTGGGACTTGGAGTATGCCGATGATGCAGGTTTGATGGCTCGGACTATCAACAGCCATGAACCTGTTAATGGTCTTAGGCACTGAGTCTGCATACTGGGGTCTTCAGATAAGCCTCCCTAACAGAAAGATAATGGTGGTGGTGGTGGTGTAGTCAGCCACAGGGCTTCTGTAGTTGGATCGCGAGAAATGTCCTTTATACAGGTAGCTGTGAGGAGGTCAAGAGGTGTATTGCCTTCACAGGCAAGGTTATTGATGTGCTATGGACGTCACTTGTAAAGAGAGCAGATATACGCCTGAGTGTAAAGAAAAGGTTATTTGAGACAAGAGTGCAAACTCAATTACTGTTATGGGTCAGAGACCTGGACTCTTAACTAAGCAGTTCCAAAAGAAGCTTTGGACATTTGAGCGCAGCGTGTCTGAGATGGTCGCTTGTAATTTCATGGCAAGATAGGGTACATAATGTCGGGCTCTGGAAGAGAACATGGCAGGTAAAGTTGCGGGTATGATTAGGCAAATTATGTCTGAATGAAGGAAGTGCCAGCGAGGTGTGGTAAAATAAACAACATTGGCCATGATGCCATCTTGATCTCTTATTCTTTATTTTTTTTGTTCTCGATCACAGTGACATAGAGGCACATTTTTATTTTATTTTATACCTACGTGACTTTGCCGAAAGAACCAAAGAGTATAGGCACATTTTGTTTCTTATTTCTCGGTATTATGGATCTACACAGATTTGTGAAACTTTCAAACCCACTGCGCTGCAAGGTGGCTTGGAAATGGCAGTGCAGCAAGTGGATATGAATACATATTCTGATTCTGGATTCTTAAATTAATCCGTGGATACCTTTGAGTACTAACCCTTTGGCATGTGTGTGGGCTTTCTCTGGTTTCCTGCCACAGCCAAGAGCATCGGGATGCGGTACTCTCCAGAAAAAAAATCATCCCTAACACTCATTGAGGCTTTTCTGAATAACCACTAGGCAATTCATGAGAGATTTCGCGATATAATGTTTTTCGGGTTAGATCGCGTAAAAATGTCAATGCGTCTTGCATCCGCCTGACGCAGAGCCAATCATTGGCATGTTTTGCTCATGTCCTGGCAAACCCTTACCAACCAGCTGTGTCGGGTGGAGGTGGGTGTGCGACACATTAAAATTTTTACACGATCTAACTGAACAAAACTTTATCGTGAATAACATTGGCCGTGAGAGCCTGCGTGTTAAATCATCGGAGTTTGTACGTGAAATATGTAACCTCTTATGAGATGTTTATCTAACATATGCGATGTAAATTTGTTTTCTCCGTTTACCTAACATCTCATACGCAACCAAATTAATACAAAAATAGAATGAGTCAAAGGACAGGCAATAGAAATATTTTAATGCTGGGTCATCTAATTCGTTGTAAGCATATTGTGCCTCTTGGTTAGGGGCTAGGTTGAGCTGTTTGGGGAAGAGGGCATCTGTGTTTCGTAGCAAAGCAGGTACCAGCACACTGCTCGCTGTGCCTGCCGTGGCATTCAACATCAATTTGTCGTATATGCCAAAGATTTGCAGCGGCTGACCTATACTCATGGGGCTATTTTGCCTCACCAGTTTACCCTACAGTATGATGCGGTTGCGCTGCGCTTCCTATTTAAAAACATTCAAAGTGATTGTTTCCCCCTTCCACACAATTTGCAGATTGGATCTAAACAAATACGTGAAATAAACAAACAAAAACTTCCGTCTAGGGTAAAGAAACATGTAACAAAATATATTGACGCATGTTCCAGTCATTCATAACACAGAGCGTGAGGATTCATATTCTTGGTTCTTTCGGTAAAGTCACGTATAAGGGAAATAATAAAATAATAAAAACAAAACATCATAATATCAAATTCTCACGACGTTTCGGCCACAACGCAAGCAGCCGTCCTCAGGTGAAGAAACAGAGCTGTCGGAAAGACAGCATGAGGAATTTTTAATTTAAAAAAAATGTAAGAGCAGACCAACGAAATAGCTGTAGCGTTGCTGGGGAAGAGGGAAAAAAATGATAAAAATAACATACAGTACAAATATGGCACATGACTCTGGTCCTGTGGCTCACTGGAAATGTCAACCCTTGACGACAAGACAACCAGTGGTGCATCATCCTCATTGCCCAAACCGGTCGCCGAAACGCCGTCTCGGCCAATCTCATACCCGCCCGCCGCCTGTCGACATTCACCAATTACGGCTGCATAACAGTCACGGCTTTCCGAACCTCGTTCTCATGTGTATATTTTTTTTTCTTCTGATTGTTCCGAGCGGTAGCTCCAACTGGCCTCTAAAGCCAACTGGGGGGGGGGGGGGGGGGGGGGGGGGGGTGTAGCGGGGCATCGATTCGTCTATTCGATTCCATGGTATCTTTGTGTTTTTTGATTCGTGCAAAAGCGTACTTTAAAAAAAAAATGATATTCTAAGGGTAAATGAGGGTAAATGGAGCAAACAAACCCGTATGGACGAGACGGAATAAATGAGAATACAAATGAGATGGTAAAAATGGGAATGCACAAAATGATCACTGTGGGGTGGAGGAGGGTTGAATCATTTCACTTTAACTAATCAGCTTTTAGCAGCAAAGGTATGTCACAAAACATGGGTATAAGACAGAGGAAGGCATCATTGGAACTTGAATTAAATCATAACCTGAATTTGTCTGACATGGTGGATATTTTTTTGGATAACATTATCTGTGGATGGATTATCAAATCGCTCTGCACAGGGACGTCATCAGTGACTCAAACATTATATATCTTATTGCCATTTATAAAGCATTCCACACATCACCAGAACACGTGTAATAACTAATGGCCATGGCTAGAACACTGAATTCCAATGGCATTTTGTTCTTCGTTATTCCCAAAAAAACTATTTTGATGAAGAGTGTCACGTACATTTCATAAGCAGCCCTTAAAATTGAGAAATGCCTGAGTGATGTATTATAGAATATTTACCGAGGTTGAAATCTGAGTTTATTTATAACATTTATTAACGTTATTTATCAACACATGTTATCAAGACATCAGATTTGTGTTTGCAGGTGGAGTGATTATTTAGTGGCTATCACACTCGTGATGAATCCTGCTACCTGAGTTTGATTCTTGGCCACAGCTAACATCATCATATAGAAGTATCATCGAACAATCTCCATATCTAGCACGGCTTGGGGAAGCCTTCATTCAACATTACATTGAAGAAAGGGCTGTAAATTATTGTAAGTGTATTTGAGGGGCTATATTCGTCTCATTTTACCATCTTCTTACTGCACAACTTGTGAATGTGGATATTGAGGTTCGAATATACAAATGTCGAACAATTTAAAGTGCATGTACAAGACTATTTGTCATAACAGAACGGCAGTAATAATTGATGTCTCATCATAAATATTCTTTCGTTCACGTGATATGTTTATTAATTGATTGCGTTGGGTGGTGGAGGGTGTACGACACACATTTTACTTGTGTTTTAGTTTAATAACCCTATACGATAAGAATAGCGCAAATACTAAATGTACGAACAATCTTGATTTGAAGGGGCATACAGATGGAGAGGCCACAGCATGTTACGTCAGGATCAAATCCATTCCAGGATTTGATCCAGGCGTGGCTTTGGCCGAAGCTTCTAAATGTCACGGGAATGCAGTGTGCACGGATGCCGAGAGGGCGGGGTCCATCAGTGGGCCATACTTAAATAAATAAAAAAAATATATCTTTGAGTTTTTAGGATCGCGTGCCGTCGGGAGACCGTTCCGCCGGGCCGAAGGGGCCTCACCTGGCCCTGGCGGCGCACGTGGTGCTCGCCGGCGGGCTTGATGCAGCCGCCGCGCTTGGCGTTGACCCTTTTGCGCCGCTTGCGCAGGACCACGTAGATCTGCACGTAGACGAGCAGCGTGACGATGAAGGGCACGTAGAAGGACACGATGGACGAGTAGAGCACGAAGGCGGGGTTGGCAATCACGCAGGCGTCGTCATCGCGCGTGGCTGGGGAGGGAGGGAGGGAGGGGGGTGGCGAGAGGGCTGAGTTCCCCCGCGACGAGACCCAGCAACATAACAAAGATCGGGGACATGGGCGGCACGTACGGGCGCCACTTGCGGAATTCCCATAAAGCGACCGGCCGTGCCACGTGCTCGCGTGACGGACATTGCGTTGCGCCGAGTGTTAAACCGCTGCTCGCCCATCACCCCCCGCCACCCGTTTCTCACTCTCTCTCTCTCTCTCTTCCAGCGCTGACATCCATGAGGAATGAACAGACGAGCGTCAATCACCACTGATCATTCGGTTCGTCCGGCCCATGTACACGCATTATTAGTCTTAGGTACGACGCAAAGGCTTTTCTAACTCACTCGTAACTACATCATTTTTGGGATGTGAAAGCAGGCTGTCTTGCATCGCATAATGAGGTCAAATGAGATGCAGAGTTTATGCACGAAGAAAGGGGGAGCAGGGGGGGGGATATTTGAGGGAACAAAGTGCTGACCTTCAAATCATAGGCTTGGACCAATACCCAATCATGACAATTTAGAAACAGACCACGCCACTCCATAGGCAGTCTTCACTGCACTGAGAACTGAAGAAGTTGTGCATTTGTAGAATGCAAATTTCGAATTAGGATGTAAAAATGGGAATTATCATGTCTTCTTCTTCTTCATGACGGTTGAGCAGAATGATCTGAAACGCTGCAAAGGTAAAAAAAAAAGTAAAACTAGAAGATAAATCACGAGAAAGAGATAAAAAATAGAAGAACTGCAGTAAAAATGACAGAAGGAAAAAAACCGCCATGGAGATTTTGACAGATTCTGTGCCGGTGGGGAAAGATTGTACATGTTTTTATTGGAATGCTTTAAAACATCATTATTCTTTTGAATGGTTCATTTTAAGATTTCCCTAGTGCTCCCTCGAGTGATTTTGAGCCAACCCTACATCAAAAAAGGTATAAAACTTGTCAAAGAAATGTAATCAACATCAGGCAAACTCAGAACTACACGCTTGGCTTGAGTGTCCAAAGCCTTACCAATAATTCCTCCACGTTTTTACCTGTCTAGAGGTGGGCATCATAGTAATTGTGTTTTATACGTTTAAAGCACAGGACTATGTGTGCGCTGTAGGACTTGAAACCGACAAGTTTGCTCACGAAATGTGTTTACTCAATTTGTTTCAGACAAAAAAAACACCCATATTCTTGGTCCTTTCGGTAAAGTCACGTAGAAGGGAAATAATAAAATAATAAAAAATACAACATAACAATAATAAAATTCTCACGACGTTTCGACCACAACGCAAGCAGCCGTCCTCAGGTGAAGAACAGAGCTGTCGGAAAGACAGCGTCCTTTATTTCCCTTCTACGTGACTTTACCGAAAGAACCAAGAATATGAATCCCCGCAGTCGCGAAAGCTTTAAATCGAAAGAAAAAAAACCACCCAATTTGCAATATGTGAAAATAAACAGGTAGCGTGTCTCTTTCGAATTGTCTACCTTTTGGGTTCAATCGCTCTTTAGGGTGTACTCTCGTCCTGCGGACTCCTTTGCAACGGTGGTGTCCACTGTCACACCGTTAAACGAAACAGGCCCCAGTATCGCAACGAGGACGAGAACAATTGTAATCAACTTCTTTAGCCGTGGCCACTTCAGCCAGACACAGTACGCATTTTGCTCTCATCATTGGTAGACCAGGCCCAATCTACGTAGGCAAAACGGTGAAATAGGTGTAGTCCTGTTTCACTCACCGTGCTCTGCAATGAATTAAATAACTGGATTCTGATAATTGTTTTTTTACCCTTTTATCTGACAACAAAACTGACACCTTTTTTTTCACAAGGAGTCATGTTTGCATTGACCACAATACCTGCGGTCAGAATGCAAACAAAAACAACACAACTCTGATCATGTATGCACTGCCTTTGAAATTGATTGGTCCACACCTGAGACAGCTTTTCTTAGAGCCTAGTCTCACATGGTGTTGGACCTTTTGGCGTTATCTGGTCCAACACCATGTGAGACTAGGCTCTAAGAAAAAGCTGTCTCAGGTGTGGACCAATCAATGTCAAGTACAGTGCATACATTATCAGAGTTGTGTTGTTTATTTGCATTCCGACCGCAGGTATTGTGGTCAATGCAAACACGACTCCTTGTAAAAAAGGTGTCAGTTTTGTTGCCAGATAAAAGGGTAAAAAAAACAATTCTCATATTTTGCTACTGGCAAAGGAGGTTCCAATGGTCTAACTGGATACTGTTGCCCCCAAAACATCTCGTTGTACTTTGTAATAAAACAAAAACGTATCTACGTAAAATGCGTTGGCAATGTGGTGCAGAGATGGCACCGTGGTTATGACACTGTGCGATGAAAGCCGGCCACGAGTTTGATTCCTGGCCACTGCTATCAGAGGCGAGGGGTTTCCAAACCGGTTCTGCGCTTACTCCGCTCCCCCCCCCCCCCCGCCAAACCACACTAACCAGTGTGGGGAAGTATGGCCAAACATCCTCATGGCCCACATCGCATGGGGAGGCCTTCATCCAGCAGAGGATTGCTAAAGGCCTATGGAGTTAGTTTTTTTGGCTTTGGCAATATGCAAAGGAAATAAACAGCAGTAACTGTTGCAATGCAGGGTGTTGATTTAAATCTATAATTTACTATTTTTGTCTCATTTTTCCCCTCTCCTTTGCATTTTTAAAGTTTGTTTCCACCGTCATTTGTACAGTTGATGTCATTCGCCAAATGTAACAATGTAAAATAATGATTTTCATATTATCTACGTAAACGTTAAGAATAAAATCTCTCACTCATCGTTCGACGCATTTTTCATGAGCATAGTTATTTATTCCAATCGACAACAGTTTTAAGTGGATTTATAGCGCAAAAACCTGAGGGGAAAAAAACTTATATATATACGAACGATGTTAATTCTAGCAATTTATTGCACTGAAAAGAATTCCGAAATTGTATGCCACACACAAACGGGCAAATTATGCATAACAGATATTAATTGATAGTTTGGTGTTTATTATTATTATCATTTTTATGCAACATTTGTAACCAGTATTACATTTCTGTCCAGACAGCCAAGACTGTTTGTGTTGGAGTTCCACAACTGTGGAGCTTTTTGCCCGATTGCCTCGGAGATTTTACCCACAGTGACTAATTATTTTAAATCAAGGTATGAGACCTATTTATATAACTTGGCCTTGTGATTTAATTCTAGAATCTTTTGATTTTACTGTATTAAACATTTTTCCTTCTCTTTATGTATATATATTTTTTAGGAGTTAATTGTTTTGTCCCATGCTCGCTGATGTTTTTACAACATTTTGACATTGTTAATGTTTTATCTTAACTTTTTGCGAAGTGGCTGAGAACCTTGTGGTATGCAAGGCAATCGACAAAAAGATTATTCTGATTGTTCTCTTAATGCGAGAAGAACAACCTACAAGATTTAATGTTCAAGGGGAATCAGCCATCCTTAGTGGTGTACTTATAGTGGCCACTAAAACTGTGATCTATATCAAAATCGCAATGACCAATATTCAACCAAATGTAACCAGCAAAGCTCGAGTGAATTCCTTAAAAAAATAATTTGTAATTTTCTGTCGGCCACACACCGAATAGCGGTACAGTGGGAAAAATAAGACGTGTTGACTTTGATAATCAAAGTGCGCTATCGATCATCATCCCTTATGGAATATTATATACATTTCATACATGGTAGCGAGACTACATTATATCCAGTCAACCCTCTTTCAGGCTCCAGGCTTATGAAGAAGATAAGGAACATCTGGATTATTATTTTTTTATCAAACAAGCTACTGAAAAATGTATTTATTCATGAATGGGGGAGATGCATAATTGGAATGGCACTTGACCCTTTCCCTTTTTGAGGTCTTGGTGGCAATTTCTATTTTTTTTTAAAGAATGGAGATTGAAGAACTGACTAAGTCACGGAGATGGGGGCTAATGCCTCTGTATCACATTGTGTGGGTGAGTATGTGAAAACATCAGCATTTATATGGTGAACCCGATGAAGTGTCAAAGGTCGAATCGCTCCCAACTGTCACATATTGTCTCGTCTGTCTTGACTGCCATGACCGCCATGAGAGATGGGATAACGTCTTTGCAATAAGGCTTAGCATGGGCGCAAAAAAAACCCACTCTATTTAAGCTCTGCACACTTACAATATAAAATAATCAAAGTGTCTAATGCATGTTTATCATCATTGGAAATTATATTCTGTTTTTCACGGTGAGCTAAATTTGGATCTCTAGAGATTTTAGATATATAATATCCACTCCAGCCAAGAAGCCGGGTAATGTAATGTGTCTATTTTCTGAAATGGTTTGTGAACTATGTGCATCAGATGTGCTCATTACAGCCAGCAGAGTTCTTCATATTGTATATTTTAAAATTGTATATGCGCTAAACCAATTTAAACACATTTTTGTAACCACACCCATAAAGTATAAGGCTGTTCTTGGCTTGACATAAATAATTACCATTAAAATATGTTATAAGTGAGATTGCAGATTGGTTTTATTGGGTACAAAGCATGACTTCTGCTAAGGGTCATGTAGCTTCATGTCACACAAATCGCAGCATTATGAAGGCTGCACATATAAGTCTATCTCTTGAAATGCAATTGCTGCTGTTAAAATGAATGTTTTAATCTTTCGGCAGGACACTTAATGGTGAGACCCATAAATATAAAAAGAAACGCATCCATGCAGCTAAATGAGCCAACTTGAAATGCCTCTGAGCCTCAGTGCACGAAAGTTATGTTTTTACCTTATCTCTCCGACACACTGCGACCTGTACAGACTTCACTTGCGGTGTAATGCACGTGACAGTCAGGAGATCATAATGTTGAAACCATTTAAGAATTTTTTTTTAAACAACACAGTTTATTTCTCTGCTGTGTTATCGCCCAGTGACTTTTTTTTTATTAAATACCTTTTTTGCAAAAATGCTGACATCTAAGACTTAGGCATGAAAATATATATTTGGTGAGGAATCGGACTTGCAATTATTTCCTCTGTAATTTAAAACATGTCTCAAAAATAGTTTTTTTTTATATTATAGGATTTTTTTTGTTTAAATGGTTCTCATTTTAAACGAGCACATTCATTGATGTGTTTTGGTATAATAAGAAACAGGGTACTGTTTTATATTCCATACCTGTCTGAATTAGAATTGTATAGATTGAGTGGCTCACAGGAAAGAGCATGCATAATAATAATTATTATGCAGTATTGAAGCTCCTTTTTGTAGAAACCCGGTTAATGCGATGGATAAAACAGTCGTGCGTACAGATCTGCTTTATTATTTACCTTACAAGCCAGAACAACAGACTTCAATCAAATGCTACCCAAATTACTCTACAATATATTAGATAAAACACACACACGCGCGCACACAAAATAAAAGTGCCACGTGCAAAAGGCTTCTCTTACCAGTGTTGTTCAAGCCAAAGAGAAGGGGGCACGACACAGCAAAGGACAGGACCCAAACCACAGAGATCATCACACCCACTCTCCGTCGAGACCGGTAGCGGGTGTTGTAGAGCACGGGCATCGCGACGGCTGTGTATCTGTAACGCGCGTCGCGGGACATGGGCAAACGTGGGACAACGAGCAGCGATGTCAATGTTTTATTTGTTCCGCGAAAAAAATCCCCGTTCAGCCAGTTAACCCAGCTCGCTTTGCGAGGTGAGAGCCGTACCGCGCAAGCACAGAATGGGAACAGCAATCACACCTGAAGTGATCCGTTCAGGAGGAACAGGCAACATCGCGAAACGGGAAAGCAACGGAGGTAGAGGTAAGAATAATGTGCGAAAATGTAAACAGGAGTATTGCACCAAAAAACGAGGACGAGGTAAGTGATGGTTGGAGAGGAGACGAACGTACTGTGGAACGCACTGCTGGAAATAAGTGCAAACACATAGCTTCTTGCAAAATAACTTTTTGTTTCAGGATACACTTCCTGTACAGGCCTAATACTTCAGACAAAGCATGTAAATTGTGACACTTTGCTATGTAATGAAAAAAACTGGTTTAGTTTTATGTCGCATAATGGTTCATACAAATTGCATCTCACAATCGCTGAAGGGCCGCGAACAAAGCTGGAAGCCAGCGAGGGCGTGAACCGACATCAACAACTGCTCAAGCTCTGCAGTCCTATATATATCAAGATGTTTTTTTTTTCAATAAATTTGTATGCGTTTGGGAGGAAACCGGAGCACCGGGAGTAAACCCAGGATGCGAGGCGGGCAACACTCTGGAAGGGACACGCGATATTCGTGGGCACCTTTGCTGTACACTACCACCTTCTCCTGGCATGCCAAGCCGTGGGAACCCGTTTAACGGCATGTGCACGCAATGAGCAATCCCATTACACTTAATTCGTGCAATCGGAATGCTTATTATTGGCATGGATACAATATATATTAAAACAAGACTCACCGCACCCCAGTGGGCCATCATCCGACATCACACAGCACTTGACCTCACCTGCTTAACACGAAATACTATTTATGACTCTCTACAGTATGTATACGTCTCTTTATTTCCTGAGGAAGGGCTAATCAGCTGAGACATCAGGATGTCTCTTTCCTCGGTAATAGTTCTGAACAGCTGCTGATGTTTTCTGCCCTACTGGATAACAATGTATTGCCGTGGAGAATCGTCGTCAGGAAGTCGATTGTGAACAATTACATTAAAACGCATCTTCCAGAATTGCAATATATTCTCCGGCGATTTTTTTTACCTTGAGCATGGGTTGGCTACGTATTGTGCGAAAGAGGTTCAGCATACATACGTACAAAATACAGGGACAAAGAAACATGCGACTTAGAATCCGGAGGATACGGCAATAATAGTACAAGTTGACTTTTGTGGAAGATTGACGAGGAAGATTGACCATGTGGCCAGACAACGCAGGAGTACAGCCAACCGTGCTAATCGGAGGTGTGGGGAAGGACAACAAATTAAACACAAAATGCAGTTCTAAAGAAATGGGGTTGCAATTTAGATATTAAAAGTGCATGGCTCTAGTGGCTTCCTAATATCGGAAGGAAGACGCGTTCTATACGTCCGTAGAAGCGCGTCTGAAAGCGCTACTACATATGTAGTCATCGTCTTTGTTAAATGCTTAGCCGAAAGCCACTCGCGAGGATGACCGGAGTTCACGTGATGGTTTATGCTCCTTGACGAGATCAGCAAGGTATTGTGGTTTAATCGTGGCAAGCACTTTGTGTGTAATGAGCGCGAACCTTATGATGTATTCGTTCAGTATTCGGAAGTCAATGCAGCTCAGTGAGTACCGGACGGATGTGGTCGGATATTGCAGCGCTCGTCACGACACGTGGCCAGATAATTGTGTACACGCTGTAGCTTGGTGAATTTCTTTTTTTGGCAGGCATCCCATCGAGTCGTGAGTTGCAATAATCGAACCTTGTCGATACCGAGAGCTACACGCCACCCGTGGTGGCCATGTCATGGATAAATCGTGGCCCGATGTGCCGGAGGTTCCTCAAATGAAAAGTTGCGGGACATGACCGCATTTTTTTTTTTCACGTGGTGAAAATATTCGCCACTGCATGAGATAAAATGCAAGCAAACAAAGTTCATAAAATCACGTTATTTCAAACGAATAAATTCTGCTAATAGGGTGTTTCCCCTTTTTTGTCTGGCAGAATAAATTCTGCACAGACAACTTCGTGTAGACATACGGAAGGCGACGGCGGGTGGGTGGGGGGAGGAAAAAAAAACAGCGTGCTCGTTTTTTTTTATGGCAGGCGGTACCTATCGATGCTAATCGCGCAGAGGTTGAGAATGCTGGCCGTGCACATCATGACGTCGAGCGTGACGAAGATGTCACAGTGCACCCTGCTGAACCTCCACTCGCCCACCACCTGCAGACAGACACACGACGCGAGCGGTGGACCCCCGGGTAGAGGCGGGGGACAGGTTAACGCGGCCACTTGCAAGACACCACAACGGCAGCAGCAGCAGCAGCACGCCCTTAGCAGCAGTGGGTGTTGACTGTGAGTCACTCGGCAGCTGTGCCAACCAAAAGTGGCACTGCAAAACAAAAATGCATGATCGGTTCTCCCCCCCTCCACCCCACCCCCGTCTCCCCTGTAGCGCATAATGCTCCCTTTCATCTTTTCCACCGCACCACGTGGTGAAGAGGCAATTGTCTACGCCACAGTGTGTGAAAATTCACATTTGCAACGAGTACAGATTTGTTTTTCTGTAAATTGATCACATTGAATCAATGTCATGCATTTGTTATAAAAGTGGAGAGTCATCGAAAGGATATTTTATTTTGCGGTGTAAAATATGCTCTGCTTCGAAAGACATTGTAATGCCATGCATTGCTAAGTTCAAGATTATTTGTAAAATGGACCACAGGATTACAATGAGAGGCTTGTTGCCCATTTATATCTATTTTTTCAGACAATATTTTACCTACGTGACTTTACTGAAAAAACCAAAGAGTATAAATAAATGACTGCCTTGTGTGGTAGATGCGTATGTGTGTGAGCAGTAAACAGGGCAGGAGTAGCACTGGATTGTCAGCGATAATGTGAATGGGATGTTTATACAGTATTCCCTCATTATTCGCGAGGAATACGTTGCGGAGATGCTCATGAATAGCAAATTTTGCGGATAATGATGTTGGCCTACGAAAATATATAATATACTAGCATTTTGCCCGTCCAAGGACGGGTGTGTTTCAGTAAATCTGAAACTTGCAAGCGAAAAGCAGACCGCGACGTCATATTCATTGCATCAATTCGTGTGCACTTTGTAAGGCCGCGGTGACACAGACTTATTTCATTTGAATCCCTTGTTCATCACGACGTCCTTTTTACTTCGATGTCTCAACAGCGTCACGGAGATCACGTGATGACGTGAGGGTTCTGCCTTTGTAGTGAGGGTTGTGAGTTGACGCCGAGGAGGGGGGAGGAGGCGCTTCGCCCCCCCCCCCCCATGTGGAGTGACGTCAGCCGCTAATTATTATTAATGAGGGGGGTGTCCATTTGTAAGACGTCATCTCTTCATGATTATTAATGAGGGGGGCTGTTCGATGTGGAGTGACGTCACCTTCTCATGATTATTAATGTTGGGGGGGGTGCTACATGTGGAGGACGTCACCCGCTCATGATTATTAATGAGGGTGGCTGGCTGACGTGGAGCGACGTCACGCGCGGGACACAGACATTATTGGCTCATTATAGTAGTAAATAATGAATTACATTAAATACATAAATACGCTGTTAAATACCTAAATATGATCTCATCACTTTCTCTCTCGATGCAGTCGTGTAGAGTTCCAGACGCAATTATCAAACAACCGAAATTGCGGATTACAAGTTCGTGAAGAACGTGTGAACACTAGAGACAATACTCTGCCTCTTCATTGCTAGGTTTTGTGTGGTTTTGGTTTAATGTCAGCCACATGGCCATAGTCTGAGAACATCTCAAAGAAGATTGATGTGTTCATTGTTCTTAATAATAAGTTACTGATATTGCAGCCTTCACCAAATTTACAGATGTACTTGAAATTGGTTATTGACTGCATTTTCCTTGCTGAAAATGGTACAAGGCTAAACAACCCAACAATTAAATGTAAATTAGCTTTATTGAAGATGAAGCAATCGATAATTAGATTCAGTCACTCGCTCAAAGCCGGCCAGTCGCCTGTTTATTACTTTTGTATCGCTGCTACTTTGGTGGCTGCTCCAGTGCAACTCACTCATTGATTCCTCCTCCCATCCGTGGACTGGATCTACCAGTGTCACTGTTCCATCTCCTTCATACTGTGTTCAATCATCACGCTGCAGGTCACACAACACTCTTTTCTCTCGACTTTTTCACTCACACTGCGCCACTTTGAATTTCCCTCCCATCGTCTCTTTTCCCAACTTCTTGTAACCTCGCTCAATCCAAGAAATGTATTAACTCTTTGCTGTCAACATTTACAGGGCAACTTTATTTGTGCTGTCTGTTCCTTGGCCGCTAGGCATCTTGGCCCTAAGGGCCTGTGCTCAACAACTGTGGTGTAAAAACAAAAAAAAACATTCTCCGCTGACCTGGAAGACTCAATCAGTGGCAACAAATGTCCCGCAGAGCAATGCGTGTCCTGTTCGATAGGCGGTATTGTAAAAAAATAACTAAGATTGCTCTATCTGCAGTGAATGCGGTGTTTATACCCCCCCCCCCCCAAGAACAATTTCAGTAATCTCCTTCATTTCAAATTTTAACAAAATTCTATAACTACTTACATTAATTGGTTTGGAAACTGCATGTAAAAAAACATTACAATCATCACAATGATACAAAAAAAATCGAAAAATTGTATTTACCTGCACATTTTTTTGTCTTTCATTGTAGGGTTTTTTTTCACAACTTAATATTGATCAATATATTGCCTGTGTTTGATGTTGGCCAGTTATTGCAGTTGCACTGCAGTCTGCACTTACCAGTGTACATATTCTACAACCTGTATATATATGCATATTCATGTTTCATGCATTCATTATGCCCTCTTAATGCTGAGGACGTTTGGCTTAACAACCCTGCACGGCAAACACATGTGAACATTAATTAACTACTTGCCTCAGTGGCCTGTTCCAGCTTGTTTAGGGGAGTTAATTGCTACTACATGTTTAACTTCTTAAGCAAAACATCTTACAACGGGCAAGGTGAATGGATTCAGTGGCTGGGGAAATCCACTGCAATATTCCATGGATTTTCTTTTCTAGTGAAGCTTGGCCCTCATTTTATTGGCAGCTGTGTCGCATAAAATGTACACGTGTGCTTCCTAATATGTTCAGAAGTATTTTTTGCATTTGCGTTATATTATATTATTAACATTCAACAAATTTTGATCGTACTTATTACCACAGGAATACAGTGAGGGAAAAAAGTACTTGATCCCCTGCTGATTTTTGTACGTTTGCCCACTGACAAAGAAATGATCAGTCTATAATTTGAATGGTAGGTTTATTTGAACAGTGAGAGACAGAATAACAACAAAAAATCCGTAAAAACTCATGTCAAAAATGTTATAAATTGATTTGCATTTTAATGAGGGAAATAAGTATTTGACCCCCTCTCAATCAGAAAGATTTCTGGCTCCCAGGTGTCTTTTATACAGGTTATGAGCTGAGATTAGGAGCAAACTCTTAAAGGGAGTGCTCCTAATCTCAGCTTGTTACCTGTATAAAAGACACCTGTCTACAAAAGCAATCAATCAATCAGATTCCAAACTCTCCACCATGGCCAAGACCAAAGAGCTCTCCAAGGATGTCAGGGACAAGATTGTAGACCTACACAAGGCTGGAATGGACTACAAGACCATTGTTAAGCAGCTTGGTGAGAAGGTGACAACAATTGGTGCGATTATTCGCAAATGGAAGAAACACAAAAGAACTGTCAATCTCCCTTGGCCTGGGGCTCCATGCAAGATCTCACCTCGTGGAGTTGCAATGATCATGAGAACGGTGAGGAATCGGCCCAGAACTACACGGGAGGATCTTGTCAATAATCTCAAGGCAGCTGGGACCATAGTCACCAAGAAAACAATTGGTAACATACTACGCCGTGAAGGACTGAAATCCTGCAGCGCCCGGAAGGTCCCCCTGCTCAAGAAAGCACATATACATGCCCGTCTGAAGTTTGCCAATGAACATCTGAATGATTCAGAGGACAACTGGGTGAAAGTGTTGTGGTCAGATGAGACCAAAATGGAGCTCTTTGGCATCAACTCAACTCGCCGTGTTTGGAGGAGGAGGAATGCTGCCTATGACCTCAAGAACACCATCCCCACCGTCAAACATGGAGGTGGAAACATTATGCTTTGGGGGTATTTTTCTGCTAAGGGGACAGGACAACTTCACCGCATCAAAGGGACGATGGGCGGGGCCATGTAACGTCAAATTTTGGGTGAGAACCTTCCCTCAGCCAGGGCATTGAAAATGGGTCGTGGATGGGTATTCCAGCAAGACAATGACCCAAAACACACGGCCAAGACAACAAAGGAGTGGCTCAAGAAGAAGCACATTAAGGTCCTGGAGCGGCCTAGCCAGTCCCAGACCTTAATCCCATAGAAAATCTGTGGAGGGAGCTGAAGATTTGAGTTGCCAAACGTCAGCCTCGAAACCTTAATGACTTGGAGAAGATCTGCAAAGAGGAATGGGACAAAATCCCTCCTGAGATGTGTGCAAACCTGGTGGCCAACTACAAGAAACGTCTGACCTCTGTGATTGCCAACAAGGGTTTTGCCACCAAGTACTAAGTCATGTTTTGCAGAGGGGTCAAATACTTACTTCCCTCATTAAAATGCAAATCAATTTATAACATTTTTCACATGCGTTTTTCTGGATTTTTTTGTTGTTATTCTGTCTCTCACTGTTCAAATAAACCTACCATTAAAAGTATAGACTGATCATTTCTTTGTCAGTGGGCAAACGTACAAAATCAGCAGGGGATCAAATACTTTTTTTCCCTCACTGTATATACACTTGGGAATACATCAAATCCTGCTACATTATATGCTTTCATTAAAAAAATACCACAAAGTGTACAGTCAGCTCAATTACTGTACCATGAATTGAAACAACTTTTGGGGAGAATTAAAAAAACCCTGACAGGCCACGTGTTCATTGTGGGGAGCGTGGGTGTAGCGCTTAGCCCGCTGCGCTACAAACCCGGCGACACATGTTCGATTCCCGCTCACGGCCAACACCAGTGACGATTATCTGAACCGGTCCTGGGCCTCCCCTAGGTCGACTCAGCCTCAATTGAGTATCTGGTGCGATGTGTAAACATCAGCACTGGGGATACAAAGGCGGCCGAGCTTGGTGTTGACCACCCAACCCCTCGTGTACCGTGCTGACCTTAATAGATGCTGCTCGCTAACAGCACTTGCCCCAACAGTCTGTTCGGACTATATACGGGGGGTGTTTGTTTTTGTTCATTGCCATCAAAACACTGCTGCCAAGCCGAAACGATGGCGGGATGTTAACTATCTCGGCTGGTATACAGGAGGTCGTAGGTTCGATCCCAACCCTGACACCTGCTGTATATTTGGTATTTCCTGTTCTCCCCGTGGTTGCACGGTTCCCCTGGTTTTTACCTCTACATTTAGAAGCATCGCGCGTTTAGTGTTTTTTTTTATGCCAATTTAAATGTCCACGTGATGATAAGCCACTTCGTTGAGCTATCATTTGTGGCAGCCAGGTCGCTTCTGAAAAACAGCTATATAAATATAGCTCAGTGGGGCCTGACCTGGCAAACAAAAACAAGTTTTAAAAAATTGCTATAAACGCCGCTCCCACATTTCAGCCGTTGTCCGTTACCTCCAGGTAGACCACCCAGGGCATGACCAGCGTCGCCACGAGCAGATCGGCGACGGCCAGGCTGACGATGAGATAGTTGGTGGTGGTTTGGAGCGCCTTTTCACGCGAGACGGCGATGCAGACGAGGACGTTGCCGAAGACGATGAGGCATATGAGCAGCGTGAGGAGCATCGCGTAGAAGTTGTAGCGGTGCGATGGCTGAGGCGCCGTGCCGTTGAGCCAGCCCGAGGAATTGCCCGGTCCCAGGGTGTCGTTGAGAACGGAGAGGGCTTGAGACACGACCATGGTGCTTGGCTTGGTCAAACACCCTAGCCTACGCTGAACAGACATCGGTCGGACATGTAACCCCCCCCCTCCCTACCCCTCCCCACTGCACGTGTAGTATTCACGTTTGAACCGCAGCAGTGTACACAATGCTTTCGTGTAGTGTGTGTGTGTACGTAGCCAACCGCGATCATCGGAGGTGTGGGAGCTCTCGCTGGGACGGTTAGGTGTGTGCAAAAAAAGTCAGCTGCTGAAAAGTGAAAACATTATATATTGCGGCATTGCTTTACACGTTCAATTAGTTTTTATATATATGTGAAATAGGTCCAATGCATGTGGTAAATGTTGACGATTTCATGATTTCTATTTTATTGTTCATTTAATGTGAGTTGAAATTGGGGAATAATGGTTCAAAGTACTGGAAATATTCTATGAAGTAAATTGTTCTGTCATGTAAATATGGGGTAAAAAACATCGACAGGTTAAATAACCCATATTTGTTGATATAAAATGCTTTAAAAATTAATATAATTAACTAGTTAAACCTTGATTTAAAGCTTTCGTGACTGCAAGGATGCATATTCTTGGTTCTTTCGGTAAAGTCACGTAGAAGGGAAACAATAAAAAAATATTTTTATTATTTTATTAATAATATTTTTATTATTTTATTGTATAATAAAAAATACTATTTTTATTATTTTATTGTTTCCCTTCTACGTGACTTTACCGAAAGAACCAAGAATATAGTTAAACCTTGTTCACAATTATCAGTATCACAGTGTATGTAATCAAAGTCTACAATTACATATTTGCTTGGGGTTTGTCATGTTGACGTGGGCATTGCATTTGAATATTCATTTAGAATGAAATTGCTTCACCTATACAATGTTAAACATATTCATGATTGGAGCCAATGACTTATAAGTGTTCTGGGAAAAAGTCAAGTATCAGAAACAGCTACCAGTCAAAATAGCACAATATAAAATGTAATACAATTTAGTACATCCCTCTGTGTACATGCTGCTTACACACTTAGCACGCTACAGTGGGAAATTTTAAATCATTTAGTTTGCTTTGTCCGGTGAACGCTACGTTACTGTTCGAAGGGCATGCAGATACACACACACAATAGCCACACTCAGGTGATGCACTGGCATGCCCCAGATTGCAACGTAACAGTAGCGAAAATAATCCGTGATGGGGTTGTTTTTTTCTTTCCCCGCAATAAATTACCGAGGAAGCGTTGAGGACACACTGAGAAGTTTGAATTTGGCAAACGAGCACAGTGCTAACGAATGTCTTGAAACAGGTTAGCCACGTAACCTTGGCTTTCACGCTAGCCCTTTGTGCACCTCCCCTCGGCAATTACCGTGCAGGGCACGCATCTCGTCACCGACTGTTGTCACGGATCATCACGATGTTGAAACGGTACGCTTTTATTTTTTTAGTTTGAATATAATTAGTCTTTTGTATTATTTTAAATAAAAGTATCTGACCGCATAGCTCTTTGGATTTTTTTTTTTAAATGACTTGCAATGGGTCACAGAAGTCAGTTGCGAATGTAAACGAGGAAGTGATGTGAATGAGAAAAGGAATTCAGGGGGATTTGTGCCGGGTCATGGTAAGAGTTGGTCAAATTGCTCTGTCTTGCGCCGAACATTTACGTCATCGGTGAGGCACCCAGGGAATTTTTTTTTTTACAAATGGACCGCAACTGGGTACTATGGTTCACAATAATTGGTTTATTGTTCTCTCTGTTGTGAAGATGCCTCATTATTATAGAGGTAATGGTCTGAGCATGATGTTAACCTACGTAAATGTTTAATATGTTTATATATTAAATGATTCACCATTTGCACAGATTTACTCAATAAAATCAGGCAATGCGGCCACAGGCGCTTATATTATTAGCAGAGGTGTGACAATCTATCAGTCCATCGACTAATATCCATTTATCATTTGTGCAAGAATTCACGTTTTGAGATTCGCATGCAGTTTACTTTTGGTATAACTGTGTGAGGATTATCCTGGTGTCAGATTAACCGTGCTTGTGAAAAAAAACTAATCAAATATTGGTTTTACAATGCGCTGGTTTAATTATTGGCTACTGCTCACTCACCGAGTGTCAGTGACTCAGTGCCCACGTGACAGCAAACGCCCGCAATTGATAACAATAATTATAATCGAAATATAATTAAGTACATTTGCTATTTGCATCACTCACCTCCGATTAGCACGGTTGGCTGCGTACGGTGGGAAAGTGACATCACAATCCACTGATTCACCAAGAGGAATTAATCATTGCACCTCATGTGTACGTATATATTTGCACGTAAATGTTTATATTGTACCTGAAACACATTGGTAGGTCTGTAAAGTATTGAGGGGTATACAGTGAGGGAAAAAAGTATTTGATCCCCTGCTGATTTTGTACGTTTGCCCACTGACAAAGAAATGATCAGTCTATAATTTTAATGGTAGGTTTATTTGAACAGCGAGAGCCAGAATAACAACAACAAAATCCAGAAAAACGCATGTCAAAAATGTTATAAATTGATTTGCATTTTAATGAGGAAAATAAGTATTTGACCCCTCTGCAAAACATGACTTAGTACTTGGTGGTAAAACCCTTGTTGACATCACAGAGGTCAGACGTTTCTTGTAGTTGGCCACCAGGTTTGCACACATCTCTGGAGGGATTTTGTCCCACTCCTTTTTGCAGATCTTCTCCAAGTCATTAAGCTTTCGAGGCTGACGTTTGACAACTCGAACCTTCAGCTCCCTCCACAGATTTTCTATGGGATTAAGGTCTGGAGACTGGCTAGGCCACTCCAGGACCTTAATGTGCTTCTTCTTGAGCCACTCCTTTGTTGCCTTGGCCGTGTGTTTTGGGTCATTGTCATGCTGGAATACCCATCCACGACCCATTTTCAATGCCCTGGCTGAGGGAAGGAGGTTCTCACCCAAGATTTGACGGTACATGGCCCCATCCATCGTCCCTTTGATGCGGTGAAGTTGTCCTGTCCCCTTAGCAGAAAAATACCCCCAAAGCATAATGTTTCCACCTCCATGTTTGACGGTGAGGATGGTGTTCTTGGGGTCATAGGCAGCATTCCTCCGCCTCCAAACACGGCGAGTTGAGTTGATGCCAAAGAGCTCCATTTTGGTCTCATCTGACCACAACACTTTCACCCAGTTGTCCTCTGAATCATTCAGATGTTCATTGGCAAACTTCAGACGGGCATGTATATGTGCTTTCTTGAGCAGGGGGACCTTGCGGACGCTGCAGGATTTCAGTCCTTCACGGCGTAGTGTGTTACCAATTGTTTTCTTGGTGACTATGGTCCCAACTGCCTTGAGATTATTGACAAGATCCTCCCGTGTAGTTCTGGGCTGATTCCTCACCGTTCTCATTATCATTGCAACTCCACGAGGTGAGATCTTGCATGGAACCCCAGGCCAAGGGAGATTGACAGTTCCTTTGTGTTTCTTCCATTTGCGAATAATCGCACCAACTGTTGTCACCTTCTCACCAGCCTGCTTGGCAATGATCTTGTAGCCCATTCCACCCTTGTGTAGGTCTACAATCTTGTCCCTGACATCCTTGGAGAGCTCTTTGGTCTTGGCCATGGTGGAGAGTTTGGAATCTGATTGATTGCTTCTGTGGACAGGCGTCTTTTATATAGGTAACAAGCTGAGATTAGGAGCACTCCCTTTAAGAGTGTGCTCCTAATGTCAGCTCGTTACCTGTATAAAAGACACCTGGGAGCCAGAAATCTTTCTGATTGAGAGGAGGTCAAATACTCATTTCCCTCATTAAAATGCAAATCAATGTATAACATTTTTGACATGCGTTTTTCTGGATTTTGTTGTTGTTATTCTGTCTCTCACTGTTCAAATAAACCTACCATTAAAATAATAGACTGATCATTTCTTTGTCAGTGGGCAAATGTACAAAATCAGCAGGGGATCAAATACCTTTTTTCCCTCACTGTAAGGCAGCTGCTCTACGGTGTTGCTGAGAAGGAATGAGATGGTATGTAAGGAACGTGACTGAGGTGTAAGAGGGCTGATATGAGGGGCTGTGCTTGGACTGTCAATCAAAGCACCATTACATAATTCTGCCTCCAATTACTGCCATTTGTCTCACTAGATCAGCTTAAACTCCGTCCCCCACCCTCTAGTCCCCCCACCTTATTAATCCCCCTGGGATCTTGGGGGAACCATATGCTTGCAAGCAAACGAACCCGACCTCCAAAAACAAGCAGGCTGTTCCCATGGGCATGGCCTAATCTAGCCCTCCTGTTGGATAACGGGCTTGAGTCTGGTGGAAATCCTACACTGGGCCGAAAGCTTAATTCATAGGAGCGTTCCTCAGCCACCCTTGAGACCCTTCCTTTTTTGTATTTTATTCCCTTGGACTTCTTGCTATTTCTCCTCTTGGACTCTTAAAGACGCGGCTCCTCTCTGACACTCATCGCGAGAGGTCACCACCCCTCCCCACCCCCTTCCTTGCCTTCCGGTTATTGGCATGAATGGACAAAACGTGTCTCGTGTCATTAAATGTTACGTGGCACACAGCGGTCACTGCAACTGCTCTGTACACTCTGGCGAACCGAGTTCGATGCCTGGCCATGGCAGAGGTCAGCAGCAAGTAGATAACTGAGAAATGTTCCTGAGCCACCCTCAACTTCTCCAAACCGGCACTGAGGAGCCCGTAGTGGTTTTTATCCAGCAGTGGATTGACAAACGTATTTAAAAAAAAATATTCTCATTTTTTGGGTTTACTAATACAGTTCTGTAGGTTGCCAGCACGAATCGTAGTGGCCTCCATTAATTATATTATTAATGCAATATTCTGCATAGCAAAAATGCTTCCAGTAGATCTAAGGTTACTTTTTTTTCTTCCAAAAAACTAAGAGTGTGTAATAATGCGCACGTTGTTATTTTAACATTAGTATAGATTAGAGATAACTTAATAAGGACGTTACCTGCATTCAGTGCTTTGTATCATCAAGACTTGGAATGCGTCCAGCAAGGCCGTAATTATAATA